TCACACCTGTGGGGAGCGTGAGGTGTTCACACCATGATGAGGATTCTGTCATGCCCGTGGGGAGTGTGAGGTATTCACACCACAATGAGGGTGTCCCGCCTGTGGGGAGCGTGGTGTTCACACCATGATGAGGGTGTCTGTCATGCCCGTGGGGAGTGTGGTATTCACACTAGAGAGCGTGTTTGGCTGTCCATCCTAGCTGGAAAGCATGTTCGGTGTCACTCCTGCTCACTGCATCCATGGGAATTAAGTGTACCCTCCCCTTCCTCCTACTCTAAACCCTAGGTGGAGGAGCATGGCCCTGCCAGTTTGGGCTGAGCCGCCACCTCCACTGTGGCTCGGTGTGAAGTCCCAGAAGCACCTTGGTCCCTCAGAGCCCATGGGTCTGTGCCATGATGCAGTATGTGCTCTGCCTGGGTCCTTGCCTGGCTGGCTCCCCTATCCCCCTCCTTCCCTCTGGGCCTGGCACCTGACCTGTGCTGTCCCCTCCCAGTGTTTGTCCCCATCCTGTCCCTGGCCAGGTGTGAAGTGGCCAGAGCCAGGCTGAGGGCTGAGCTGAGGCTGTGGGGAGAACACACCTCCCTGCTGTGGCCCATCGTCCCTGTCCAGCCACCCGGGGCTTGGGAGGCGCCAGGGCCCTCACAGGTGTCTTGGAGGGAGAAAGACCACCCCTGCCTCGAGCTTCTTCTGCCACATGGGCTCTGAGGGCCGCCCTGTCCCAGGGCAGAGACCAGAGGGCTGTGAGGTCACCCTTCCTGGTCGGCATTCCTGGGGCTGTGGGTGAGGGCTGGCCGGCCTGTGTCCCCCTGTCCCAAATGAGCCAGGCGTGGAGACCACTTGCTGGCTGCCAGAAGCCGTCCAGAGCCCCTCGGGCAGCTCCCAGCACCCCTGGCAGAACAGGTGCCCCAGGAAGGCCTGCAAACCCCTGCTCCTTTTTGCTCTCCCTGAGCAAAATGCCCCTGAGTTGCACGCAGGCCCCCTGGCCCCAGGCTTCCAGCGTCTGGTGTCCAGCCTGGGTGTCCCTTGGCTGTGGACCTGTGTTCTGAGGGTGCAGGTGGGGAGAGGTGTCTGGCTGAGCGGGAGGAGCGGAGTCCCCTGAGCAGTGCAGGGAGTGTCCTGTGTGAGCTCTGGGCCTTGGGTTCCTGCCTGCCCTGGGTTCCAAGCCACCCAGAAGGGCCATCCTGGCCTGGCTGCAGTGCTGAGGCCGGCAGCCAGGTGGCAGTGTGGGGCTGGCCACGGGCCTTGTCCTTCCACCAGGGACATCTGGCTTGGACCAGAATTATGGAGTGGGGGGCATCACGGGTCTCAGCCCACACGGTCCCCTCCACCAGCCCTATCCCTGTCCCTCAGCTGACACCCCCAGACCCCTGTCTCATACATCCTGCCAGGGTCGCACCTGTTTGCACCTCCAGATATGCACATCAGGCACATGGGGTCAGGGAGAAGGGCTTCCCACGGAGTGGCGCCTCCTTCCTGTCCAGGGGACTCGAGGGTCCCAGAAACAAGAGAAAGTCCCTGTGGGTTGTGCATTTTATTAAGATAATCGCTGACTTCTTAAATTACCTGTTGCTCACAACGCATCTCCAGATGCGCTGCCTGTGCAGCTGACAGTCTCTCCTGAGGTCACTACCCCAGGGGCCTGCACCCCACGGAGGGGCTTGAGCCCAGTGGCCGCCTCTCCCCTCCTGGGGCTGCCAGGGGAAGGGGGCAGCCCGGCCATTGGAGCCCCCAGGTCTGGGAAGGGGCAGCACCAGGCTGTGGGACTCTGAGCCACCCACTGGAGCTGAGTCTGTCCGGCCCTTCCTCCTCCCATGGGATGGCACTGGCCTGTGCCAGGCGGGAGCTGGTGGCCGGAGGAGGGTGGTGGCCCTGTTTCTCTTGAGGCCAGGGCTGAGCTCGGCACCCCCTGTATAGATTGGCCTGAAGAGGTCAACAGCGTCTCCAAGACCTTCTGTGCCTCCCATTGGCCCCAACAGAAAGGCTTCAGGGTCCAAGAGGCCCAGTCCTGAAGGCGACCTTAGTGCTGGCCCGGGGCGCCCTCTGTCCAGCTGCACTGGTCTGGGGCCATCGGACACTGCCACAGCAGCGCCCTTTCCAGCAGCTGCGCCCTGATGTCCAGGCTCAAGGTCCTCCAGGCGCTCGGGCCAGCCAGCCCTCCAGACCCAGGGGCGGCCTGAGTGTCACCCTCTCGCCTCCCACAGGCTCGGAGCCATCCCCACAGGGCGTGCACGCTGTCCTGGGGACGCCCCAGATCGCAGACCTCTCCTCGCCCGCAGGCAGCGCCACTGCAGGGCCAAGAAAGCGGGGCATCAGCTGGGCCCCCCACGCGGACAGGTGGCTGCCCCGGACAGCCTCGCGGGGCGGCCAGGTCAGAGCGCCGCGGGCGCCCCGCACAACCGCAGCTGCACGCTGGCCGTGAACGAGCGGCGCGGCCGGCCCAGGCTGCAGTGCAGGGTGGTACGGAAGGAGCTGCGCATGCGCTTGGGGAAGATGATGGTCGTGCTGCGGAAAAGCAGCGCGCGCGGCCGCGGCTCCAGGGTCAGCTGGCTGCGGAAGCTGCGCCACGTGCAGTTGGGCGCCGCCACGATGGTCTCGCTGTAGGCCGTGACCGTGGGCACCGGCGCATAGAACACCTTATCCCGGAAGTGCCTCTCAGACGCATACTTGACCTCAGAGTTGCAGCTGGGACAGAGGAAAGGTGCCAGTGAGCCGGGAGAGGACCCTAGTGCCCACCGTGCACTCAGCGCCCCCACCACATGTCACGGTCACGAAGGGCACAGAAGGCCGGGGCACTGATCCAGTTCGGAGAGGACCAAAGAGAGGAGAGAACAAGCGTGGTGGCGCACGCCTGTAATCAATCCCAATGCAGTGGGAGGCTGAGGCAGGAGGATCACCAAGTTCAATCCCAGCCTGGACAACTTAGCGATTTAGCAAGACCCTATTTCATAAAAAAAAAACTTTAAAGTGAGAGGGCTGGAGATGTAGCTCATTGCAAAGGCCCTGTGCTCAATCCCCAGTACCGGGGGGGGGGCACACGGGGGGCGGGGGGAACACCTGATTGCAGCACGTGACCTTATTTGGGTCCTGAATTGGGGTTAAAAGCAGGCATGATGGGGGCCGGGGATTTAGCTCAGTGGTTCTGCCGCCTGCTTCGTAAGTGCAAGGCCCCAGTTCGATCCCCAGTACAAAAAAAAAAACCAGCAGGCATGACGGTTCAGCAGTGGGTCAGTGGGCAAAATGTGGGCAAGAAGAGGACTGGATAGTGGTGTTGCTAGGAGCTAAAGGGCAAGGTGTCACCAACCTTTTCTCTAATGGGTCCCCAAAAAGTCCCTATCTATGAAGAGCGAGTGTGGGAACCCCTGGCTGGGCCCACAGTGCGGGGTGACTGGAGGCATCGGGACTCCTGCAGCTGTGCAGCATCCGGGTAGGGTTTCCAGAAAGTCACCACCCTGGATGCACAGCCTGCAGTGACCAGTGTGTCCCGGGCCCCCGGGAGTCAGGGCCGCATCCCAGCCGCCCGCTGCCTCCCAGCTCTGGGCCCTGCTGCACCGGCCCAGGGCCCACAGCCACTCACCGGATCTCATGTGTGGGTTCCGGGTCCACCTCGATGCTCTCCCCGAACACCACCGGCAGCATCCGTGGCCTCATCTGGGGGGCCAGGGCGTCTTGGAAGCGGGGAGGGGGCTGTGGGAAGAGGCACGGATGCCAGAGTTCGGTGGTCCTGGGGTCCAGGAGCCTTGGCTCCCCCAAGCCGGCCAGCCCTGGCTCCATCTTGAGGTGGTTTTGTGGGGTCCACCAGAAGCCCACCTGCCAGGACCCCCGCTCCCACCCCACCCTGTGGCCTGGTCCTCAGACAGCTCCTCAAGGGGACGGCCCTGGCCACACCGAGCCCCAGAGCCAGCACAGGGCCCCGTGGAGGCGGGGGCCAGGGCGGTGTGACAGAGCACCCCAGCCCATGCAGTGCTGCCCAAGGCAACAGCAAGGAGTGCGGAGACCAGAGATGGCGAAAGGTCCCGTCTTGCCCACGCTGTTGGCAGCCTAGGTCAAGCCAGGCCTGAAGCCCCTGGTCTTGGCTCAGGCTGATTCTGAAAACGCAGATGCCCCTGTGCCCGTGGCCCAGGCTGAAGCCAACATGGGGACCTCCTGGTCTCCCTGTCCCCATCCTTCACTCTTGAAAGGCTCTGCACCCCACACTGCACTTTGGGGCCTCCGCAGCCCTTCGCCGACCCCAGCAAATCCCTGTCCGTCTGTCACTGAGAGCCCTGGGGGCCCTCCGTCCTTGCCCTCCGTCCTTCCCCTCCTCGAGGTCTCAGTTCTAGCACTGTTGCCCCATGGTCAACTTTGGCCTGAAAAATATTTATACATCCTAAATAATTTTATTTCAGTGTAGTGTTCTGTCTTCCTACTACTCATCATCATCATCATCGTTCCTCTCTTGCTGGCCTGGTTTTAAGCCTAACCCAGGGTGAGGGTCCAGCCTGCTGCCAGCTCCCCCCAGAAACAACAAGTGGCTCAGAGGCCCCCAAAACTCAGCCCCCGCAGCCCCTGGCCCTGCCTGCCCGTGCTGGGGAGTGGGTGAGCAGAGTGCAGACGCACGTGGGAGACGCGGTGGCCAACAGGACCGTGAGGACAACAGAAGGGAAGGGCAAGGACACCAGGAGATAGCTGCGCGTGGGGACTGGCTCCCTGAAGCCTCACACCCACCCAGAGCCTGCAGTGGGCCTGGCTCCCAGCAGGGCGTGGCAGACGCCAGTTAAGGCTCCCAGAGTGCGGCCGACCCAGCCGGGGGACCGCGTCCTTACAGCAGGAGGACAGGCCACACCAGACAGGAAGGGACGGGAGGGCCGGAGCCAGGGCCCTGCTGCCGCGGGATGGGGAGGCAAGTTCACTGCAGTCCCGTGTCCCGGCGCACTGGGCAGAACCCACAAAGGAACCCTGAGGTTCCAGAGCTCGGGGAGCAGCCAAGGCCCGAGCCCCCCTCTGGGGCTCCACCCTCTCAGCGACCCTGCTTGCCAAGCCCGGCCTCCTCCGGGCTGCATCGTGGGCACAAAGGGCTCTGCTACCGCTGCCCGTGTTCTGGCCCCAGTCACCCACCACCACACGTCATCATCACCTCCCACCCCACGGGCCACCTGCTGGCCACACTCAGTGCTCTGGACAGAACCCAGGCCCACCAAGCTGTCCGCCGAGCGAGCGCTGCCTGGGTCAGTGGTGGCTCCTCTTCCGCCCTCCTTTGGTCTCAGCTTAAAGGGCTCCCCCCAGACCAGAGCCCAGGTCCCTGGATCCTCACTGGGGAAAGGGACAGGGACGGAGCAGGGGACAGCCAGGCAAGGACAGGACGCAGTGCTTGGACACAGAGGGGGCACCGGCCCTTAGGGAGCCTCTCCTCCTTCAGGCTCCCGTTTCTTGGTGGCCATTCCAAGGCCCACTGTTGGGTCAGCATGGACCCCAGCTGCTGGACTCCACAACTGTGTATTTAGAGAAAGAATTCTGTCTCTCCCAAGGGCGCCTGAGCCCTAGCACGCCCAGGGTTCTCCTACAAAAGGGGGTGATGGAGGGCAGCCCCTTGGGCCACAGGCAGAACCAGGTGCCCTTCCCAGCGGGGCCAGATGGGCTCCTCCCTAACGGGGCTGGGCTGAGCCCGTGGGGCCAGCGGTGGGGCCAGCGGTGGGGCCAGGACACAGGCTGGGGCGGGGGGCTGCAGGGAACGGGCAGGCAGGGATCCCCCAGACTCTGCTTTCCTGCCCGCCCAGGTCCCCAGCTCCTCCTTGAGCCCAGGGGAGCCCGTTTCAGGCTGGGCAGCCAGCGGCACCCTGGTCCCCTGGGCGGGCAGGGGTGAGAGGCCACGGCCAACCATGCCAGAGTTTCAGGCGGCTCCCTGGAGCCCAGGCAAGGTAAACTCCTGGCTGGGAGGAAACAGACGGCGCACATGGTGCTCAGGGCCCCAGCCCGAGCCACCGGAAGACAGGGCGCAGAGGTGGAGCCCGCCTGACCCAATTCTCGTGTGCCCGGGCTGGGACAGGCGGGTAGGCACAGCGAGTTGTGCAGGGTGGTGGCGGGAGGACAGCGGCCAAGGAAGGGCCTCAGCAGCGTGAGTCCAGAGAGGGGTGTCCTTAAGAAAGGGACACAGAGGACAAGGCAGGTGAAAACGGAGCGGGGCTGGCCTGACGCCTCCACAAGCCAAGGAAACAAGACGGACGCGCGGGACGTTGGACGCGCTGTGACCGCCAGGGTGGGGCACTTGGCCGCAGCCCCAGGAGGCAGGGACAGGCGCCCCTGGGGTCCCCTGGCCAGTCCAGGGCCCGGGGCCACCTCTTGGGGGACCAAGGGCAGGGCAGCATCTCCCCTCCGCCGTGCCCTTTCCTGAAGGCCCACCTCATGGTGACCGGGAGGCCCCCGAAGACCGCGTGCAGAGCTGGCCCTGCCTCACAAAGGCGGACACGGCGAACCCCAAGGCGGCACCTGAGGGGAGTGACTGCGGGCCCATGGGGCGGCCCTGCCCTCACGACGGGCCGGGGCTTCTGCCGCTCCTCATCCCAGCAGCTGGAGCAGAGGCTCTGTGGGTGCAGGAGGAGGAGGCCGCAGACAGGGAGTCCGCCTCGGCTGTCCTCAGCCTCCCTCGCAGCAAACGGCCCCTCCCACGTGGCTACCCCACTTACTCGAGCCAATACCTGCCCCGTGAGCCTGCCTCCTGCCTCCTTACCCTGTCCGCCCATCCGCCCAGCCACCCATTTCTCTGTCCATCCACCCCTGCACCCAGCTGTGCGCCTGTCCACCCATCTCTTCACTTTCCCTCCGTCCGTCTGTCTGTCGCCTCTCCTGTCCATCGTCTGTCTTTCCACCCTTCCCAAGCTCCTGCCCTCACTCCCGGTCTCCTCTCATACTCGGTGTCGCCATCACAGACCGGAAACAACGGAGAAAACCCAGGCATCCGGGTGGCAGCCAAGATCCCGAGAGGACCAGGACGAGGTCGAGGACGGTGCAGGCGCCAGTCAGCGCCACCCCGCAGGCTGCCCTGGCGCCGGGCAGGCACCACGAGCACCCACTTCCGCACATGAGCTCCTGTGGTCACTCCGGGCAGGGACAAGCGAGGAAGGAAGTGGCTGTCACCCCGCCCGCGACAGGACTGCAGGCCTGGGAGCCGAGGGGGCAGAGCCACTTCTGCCTCACCTGCCCGGCATGGTAGCCGTGGGCCAGTTGGTAGTACAGCAAGCAAGCCCTGCACACAGAGACAGGTCCCTGAGATGCAGAAGGCCACTTTCTGCCCAGCCGCTCCCTCCCACCCTGGCCCTCACCCTCCAGCCTCCAGCCGCTCAGGCCTCCTCCGGTTCCCTAGCGCCACCCCTGCCTCAGGCCCTTTGCACCTACCCTTCTCTTGGCCTGAGACACACTTCAGCCCTGTAAGCCTCATGAGCACCCCGGTGTATTCAGGTTTGTTAAGCATCACTTTCTGGACCACCTTTCCAAAGCAGCTGCTCCTCCCTCCCAGCTTTCTGTCATGGGATGTTTGTCACCCCACCCAGTGGCGCATCACGGATATCAGTTGGTGGCTGTGTCTGCCCCTCCAGAATGCCAATTCAGTGAAGGCAAGAACTTCGAATGTCTGGTTCACTGCTGTCCCCGTGCCCCCAGCCTGTGTGCAGCACATGGTAGGTCTCTGAGGTTCTGCAGTCATCAGGAACATTCCTACCTTTGCTCCCAGAGTGACTGGAAAACCCAGTGTGGGGGAGCCCATGTGTCCCTGTCCTGGTCCCTGTCCCCGGGCTCTTACATCCTGAGGGGCCGTCTGGAAGCCCTGCTCTCTTGGAAGCTCGGGAAGCTTCTCTGAGGAGAAGCACGTGCTAATCGGGCAGTCATGGCCAGGATCAGGGCGGGGTGACAAACCGCCGAGGTCCTGGGTGGCCAGGGCTTGGGGACAGGGCTGCGACCAGCTCCCCTGGGCGAGTTGGCACCACTAACTCTGATAAGGCAGGCGGTGTCCGTAACCCGGCATCCGCCCTGGCTTGAATGACACAAGACGCCAAGGAAACCTGGCCTGGCTCAGCGCCTGCCTCAGCGCCTGCCTCTTCTGGTGCCTTCGAAACCCTCTGTCCCAAGGGCCTGGATCGGGAGCTGTGAACCACAGATTAGCAACACCGCCTGGGGTGGGGAGGACACGCCCTGGTGTTCATGGGGGGTGGGAGGTAGGCCGGGCTATGCCTGGGGGGTTGCCCATGGCAACCTCTTGCTTTCGGTTCATTAAAAGTAGCATTTCAACCCCCACAGGTACCCAGGCATTTGGTTATTTTTATTAAACTTTTTAAAGTAGTTCGTCAGCTGCACAGTGAAAAGCAGGAGAGTATCAGGCTTGGGGTCTCACTTTGGAGCCAGGGTCTCTGGGGTCTGTCCCAGCTTTGGGCAAGCTGCTAACCTTCCCCGTGCCTCAGTTTCCTTTGTAGAAAATGGGGGTAAAGGGTGTGCAGACAGCCATAGGCACATGGTGAAGATTAAATGGGGCAATTCGAGGAAAGCTCGGCCGTTCCTGGCGTGGGGGACGGGCTCCGGGCACTCCGGGAAATCACCTGTGAGGAAGGGGTCGGGCTTCGCTTCTCAGGGCGGCCCAGTTAGCAAGGAAGGGAGCGATGAACCCAACGGCTCAGCCAAGACAAGCAGGCCAGGCAGTCTGTTCGGGTGGCCGCCACTGCCGGCCTGGGAGAGAGGAGGCACCCAGACCGGCGGCAAAGGAGAGCCCCGGGTCAGACACCCTCTCAGCCCTGCTCGCAGCCCCAGTGGGAGCCACCGGCGTACCACCTCGAGCACAGCTCGCATTCCCCGACACCAGTGGGCCAAGTCTGGGACAAACTGGCCCCTTCAGACAGCAAGACCAACACCCCTGCACACAGCCCCGCTCCTAGAAAGCCCTGCAAGCCCCAGCACCCCTGCGACCCCCACCCATCCCATGGGAGAGATCTCAGTTCAAGTTCGCTGCAGGATTTTGGTGGAAGACAGAGGTTTCCAACTCCACCACACATGGACGGCACCTGAGGAGACCCCTTAAATCCCGGTGCCCGGTTCTGCCCAGTATCAATCCAACAGACACACGCACGGGCATGGGGGAGTGGGTGCTCCTTAGGGTTCCCCAAGCGACTCCACAGGCAGCCAAACTGGGGACCCCTGGACTAGGGCGCAAAGGAGGTGCACAGGGAGACTCCACTGGGATGCAGGACCCCACCCCCTCAGCCTGTCACTTCCCCACCACGGAGGTGGCGCCCTCAGCATCCCGGCCCCATCCAGCCGCCAAGCTGGGTCCACCCAGGGCTAAGCTTCGTCTGGAGGAGGCCCCGCTCCTGGGGCTCCCGACCTGGAGCTCCACGTCGACAGCCCTGCGACCCGGGAAGGAAGGCTTCTGTCTGCCTTCAGTTAGCAAAAGACCTTCAGGACTGCAGCGGGGCAGTAAACGGCCCAGGGGGAAGCAGGGGACGGGGCAGCCGCCCCCCCTCCCCCGGCCGCCCCCTCCAGCCGCCTGGCCCGCAGCCAGCAGCCCTTTTGGGGATCGCAGACACTGTCCCACACACACCCCACGCGCCCCTGCCCCCTGTGCCCTAAGAGCGGCCCCACTCCCGGGAGGGCTCCACGGATGCCCGGGTCAGGCTGAGCACCGCCACCTAAGGCCGGGGTCCCGCCTGGGGAGGGCGCCCCAGTTCCTGCAGGGGGTGCATCCTTACCGCTCTGGCCTCTCCGGGGCCGGGGGCCTCTGAGGCCGCGCCGGGGCCCTCCGCCGGAGCACTGTCGAGGGTGCCGGGAGCCCGGGCGTAGAAGGGAGGGCTGGGGGGCAGCCCAGAGTCGGGGCTGTCCAGCTGGCCGTCGCGACGCTGCTCCTTCAGGCTGCCCACGCCCTGCAGAGGCAGGTGCCGCACCATGTCTGGCGGCGCGGGGTGCGGGCGCCCGGCTCCGGGGGCTCCTGCACCTCGCTCGGGCCGCGCAGAGCGCGCTCGGGCCCGTGCCCCGCACCCCGGGCCCCAGCCCGCCGGCTCCTTTTCTAGGCACCGCCCCCTCCCTGGCACCGCCCCGCCCCGCCGGCCCTCGCGCCCACGTGCGGCCCCGCCCCGGAACAGGGCGGACCCAGCGATTCCCTGGATTCCCTGGATTCCCTGCGATTCCCTGGATTCCCTCCGCAGCTCTGGCTCCATCTGCAACTCTCCCTCTGGGGACAAGAAGTTCATACTCCACGGCATCTCGGGTCCGCCCCTGATTTGTGCCTAATTATGCGGATGGCAGGCCACCGCCTTGAGCTTTGGGTGGAGAGCTTTGGGGAGCTGGCACGGGGCTTTCTCTCCGGGGCCCCCAAGCCGCCTTGCCTGTGGCCAAGGGCCTCGCCCATCTTATCTCTTATTTCCTTCTGCCCACAAGACCCCGACCCTGCTTCCCTTCCCCTCAGCAAGGGGTCCCCACGTCCGGTGCCGCCCCGGGGGCCCCCAGCAGGGAATTTAGGAGTCTGCAGGTGTCAGGTGTGGACAGCTAATAGGGCACGGTCACACTGGTCCCGTCCATCCCGGTCTGTGGCAGAGCGCAGGGCCCAGGCGGGGGCTGGAGAGAGGAGCGTGGGACACCCCAGTGCCTGGACTTGTGTTCTTCCAGTCGGGGCTACTAAGCCCTCCTAACCCCACCAGAGCCTGGGGCAGGCGTCCGGCGCTGGCCCTGCCCTGAGGAGCTGTCGGAGGAGACCCACACAGCAGGCCACAGGGCCGAGAGCTCCTAGGGGTGGCCGGACGCCCTTTGTCTGGGGACAGCGACTCCCACACCATCAGACAAGGACAGAGAGCAGAAGCCGCGAGGAACCAGCAAGACCCATCTGGGACCTTCTAAGGAAAACGGTGGACACAGCTGAGGCTCACAGGCTTCAGCCTGGGCCTCCTCGGCCCCTGGGCCACTGGATGGAAACGGGTGGCTGAACTTCGTCCCCTCCCACGTGTGGGGCCATTCAAGCTCACCCTCCCGTGCCCTCCAGGGCCCTTGGGCTGTGTTGTTGGTGGACCACGGCCACTTCTCTTCAGAGGATGGTGGGCAGGGCGCCTTCCGGCAGGGACAGAAGTCAAGGGCAGGAGGGTGGTGAGGCTGGTGGCCAGGAGCCCCCAACACAGGGTTCCCCAACCTTGTGTAAAATGTTAGTATTTTGTTCCTTTTGACCCGTGTGCTTCCATCTTGACTTTGAAATGTTGCAGGAAAAGTTGTCCCAACTCCCTGTCGTGAATTCTGTGCTCCGGGCGAGGGGCTCTCCCGCTCCATCCAACCTGGCCTGTGCCCTTCATGCCGGCTCACACGAGAGCCTTTGTGATGGTGCCCGCTTGGGGCCGGAAGCTCCCCTGAGGTGCCAGTGTGCAACAGAGTCAGAGACGGGTGTGTCCCAAGCGGAAAGAAAAGCACGACCCTACAGAGGTCAGCTGCCAGCGTGCAGCCCACGCACATGACCTGGTGCCCTGTGACCTCTGACCTATTCTGTTGGGATTGGCTGCTGCCGACCGAGGGCTGCCCATTGAGTGGAGAAGGCCAGAACTGTGGATGCTTCTACTTCTCATGGTGCCAGATGGCCCGCAAATGTCAGAAAGGCGGAAAGGCCGGAATTTCCATACACTTGCTTGCCACATGCTGGCGGGGAGCAGGAGGAAAGGGGCTAGAAGCTCTGGGGACTTCAAGATCAGAATGCCCAGCCCAGCCACACAAGCAGGGGCCACAGGAGGCAGGCGCAGGGCTTTGAGCTTGGGGTACCCCTGCGGCCCAGGGACGCTTGACCTGGATCCCCCTTCCTGTTTTGGGTTACGGGGAGGAGTTTGGAGAAGGAGCGGAATGGGGCAGGAGGAGACCCTGTCCCCGACAGTGTCCCGTGCTGTGCTGGACAGCAGGGGGGCTCAGTGTGTGTCCCGGCTGTGAAGGGACACATTCACCTCCATGTGCATGAACTCGCCTATGTTCACAAGCACCTGGAAAGGACAAAGGAAAGTGGCCAGTGTGACCGGAGCCCGGCACCTCAGCATTAGGATTTCCCAGGCTGCTTTTTGGGGGGCTCAGCCCTGCGAGAGGGAAAGGTCAGAGGGTGACGGAAGGTCACATAGAGAAAGGGCTCTTCGTCGACTGTCCTTAGCCACTGGGCACCATTGGCGTGATGCTCCTGGGTGGGCCTCTGGACAGCGTGTGATGTCCCCGCACACACAAGGCCTGCCTTGAACCCGGCAAAGCATCCCGATGCACGAAGTAGAAGCCCAGTGTTTTTTAAAATGGCAGATGGTGGGCCAGAGATTTAGCTCAGTGGTTTCGCCACCTGCTGCACAAGTGCAAGGACCCAAGTTCGATCCCCAGTACCAAAAAAAAAAAAAAAAGATGGAGCCCCAGAGTACAGAGAGGTTAAGTGACCTGCTTGAGGTCACACAGCCCTAGAAGCCAGGGCTAGGAGAGATGTGGGCATCTGGGACTGGACACTGGGGCAGAAGGACTGGGGTCCCGGGTGGGGCCCAGCCACAGGGCCTTCCTGTGACCCGCAGAGCTGCCTGCTGTGCAGGCCCAGAGACTCAGGCCCAGGCTGAGTCGAAAGCTCAGGTGACGGTGACTGACAGTCTGCAGATGCCTGTCTGATTGAGCCACTGTGCCAGAGAGAGGCTCCGGGCCCTGCTTCCCCTGGGCCATGCACCTCCTTCGAGTGCCCACATGCTGGACGGCCTGGTCACTCTGCAGCACACAGGATGCATTTGGGGCAGCCGGGTGGCCCGTGGATTCAGCCCCAGCTTCCTCCATGCATCTGGGAACTCGGGAAATGAGGCCCAGAGCGGGGGCCACCAGGCCTGAGCTCACCCCAAGGGCTGGGCCATCGCCGGGGGGCCTCCCAGGGTCACCACCCACAGGACGAGACTTCTCCTGGGACAGGGAACAAGGCTCTGTCTGTCTCCCCCATCACAGACGGGGTCCTCGAAGGCAGAATGAGTGGGGCACACAGTGGAAATGGGTGAGGATGAAGGGATAAATGGTTAGTGAGGGTCAGCCGGCTGCAGTGCACACAGCACAACCAGCCATGCGTCCCTGCTCCCAGGCACAAGCTGAGCTCTGGGCCCACTGTGGGGTCGTCCCCAGCTCGGCTGGTCCTGTCCCCAGGCATTCCACCCTGCCTGGCTGTGAGAAAGGAGCAAGGGAACTGATGCAGTTGATGATGTCTACACACATAGACACACAATACACATGCGCATGCAGCACACACACACACTCACATGAACATGTGCACCCGTACACCCAAATCATGCACACACACATACACATGCACAAGACACACACACACCTTAGTATGTTCTAGAAGAAGACGGGAGGACACCATGACCTAGGTGGCTGCCTTTCCCGAGGGCCCTGGGGACTGTCGGTGTTCAGGGACCCTGGAATGCCCGTGGCCTCACACTGGAGAGGGGTCCAGGGACAGGGTGGACAGAGCAAGGGGCAGAGTGGTGCCCCCTGGCCACAGCCCACTGTCCATCCATCCCTGGCCACACGGTCAGATGCTGAGTGCTTTAAGGTGGGCGCTGTGGCTGACAGCTCCCCGGGACTGAATGTCCCAGCAGGGCTGGCCCTGTGGCCCAGCGGGCGCTGAGTGTCCCTGGTGGCTGGTCATCTCTGTGCTTTTTCCCTGGAGAAGCTGCCAGCATCTCCGACTGGTCACCACCTGGACAGTGAGTCACTGCTTCGTTTCCAGCCGGCCTTTCCTGGCCACTGTTGGCCCGGTCAGGGCATCCCTGGCGGGCTGGGCAAGCACAGCGCGTGGGCTGCTGTGACCTGGAATGTGCTCTGGGGTGCTGGTTCAGTGTCTGGAGCAGCCCAGGGGCCCAGGGCTTTAATGACAGGGACTTGGCTGGCCTGGCCAGGCACCGGCTCCGCCCCTCCTGCCACCAGCTTCTCCCTGGCTGTGAACTCGGCTTCACACCTCCACTTTCTGCGGCTCCTCCCAGTGCTATAAACAAAAACCCTATTTATGTCCTCAGTGCACTTAATTACACCAGGCAGGACCAGAGTGGTGACAGCGTGTAGTAAAAACAGGTCCTTACCATTGGGAGAAAGCTCCAAGCCAGATGTGTGTTGCGGGGGGCAGGCACCCCCAGATTTTTGTTTTGGAAAGTTGAAAGAAGGGAGGCTGAGGCGGGAGGATTGCAAATTTCAGCCCAGCCTGGGCAATTTAGCAACTTCGTGAGAACCTGCCTCAAGGTGAAAGGGGGGTGGGTGTTGGGGATGTAGCTTAGTCTGAAGGACTTGGGTTCAAACCCCAGTACCAGAAAACAAAAACAAAACCAGAAAATCCAAATCCACTCTAGGCCAGCCGCACTGACAGCCCCGCGCCCTCTCCAGGCCCACACACCACTTTGCTGTCTGTCTGTTTTGCTGATTTAAAAGTCCGTGGTGGACCTCAGGACCTGAGCCCCCAGATCCTCCTGGGCCGTCCCCCGAGAGCAGGGACGGTGCCTGTGCACTCGCACCCCCATCCCACACGGGGGCGCCTTCCGTGGGGGCTTGAACGAGCTCCTCTGTCCCGCACACCTGCTCCTCCGGAAACACAGGCGCCACCGGCCTGGATCGGCTCTGCCCAGGCCCTGGGAACTGCGGGAGAAAGCGGGGCCCTAGCACTTCCATCATCCCCTCGGGCAGGGTCAAAGCCCAGGCCCCCACAGGCCTCCTCCTGGTCTTTGCTGTTCCTGCTGTGGGCAGCTCGAAAGCTCACGATCAATGAGATCTCCGTGCGGCTTCCCCTGGCTGAGGCTCAGGATGGAAACACCTCTCCCAGGGTCTGTGCTGCCACCAGCTCAGAGCGGGGGGCCACACGCATCAGCTGGTCTGACTGCAGGCTGCCACGGAGGGGCATTGCCGCCTCTCTCCGGCCCTAGGGTGCTTTCCCGTTGTGATCCACTCGGAATTCCTGGCCAGGTATTTTGGCATCAGGGGAATGTCCTATCCCCAACGCAACCGGCACCTCAGCAGATGCTGCCTGGATCACCGGG